GTCAAAATTTTGCATTAGCATTATTAAGATATCGAGATAGATTAGAACTTAGAAATACACAAGAGGCTTTACAAAATACACAGGCATGAAATTTTGGTGAAAATGAATCTGATTCTGATGAAAATTCTCTAGACTTGTATAATTCTGATGATAATATGGGTACAATAGCTGAATTGACCAATGCTATAGACCGATCTCTAGATAATACAACAATATGTAAAACTATTTTAACAAATCAAATTAGAAGATCAACAAGGGCAATCTGATGTAAATATGCTAATCTGCAACAAGATCTGGTAAACGAATGATGGAATCGTGATATGTACAGGCAGGAGCAAGACCAGGCATTGCTTAATCTTCAGCAGTTGCAAACTAGTGCTCAAAATCAGATAAACAGAATAATAGATCATATAGCAAGAAAACAAACCTGTATCAGTGAATTGCTATATAAAAATTTTGTCTTACAAATCTTATATCAATGAAATGTCCACCACCTATAGCAATGCAGAGCCGATAGAGGTTTGTTAGAATATAATAGAGACAGACTCTATAAGCGATATGAAAAATGAAAAAATAAGACCTATGCAGAATGCCAGAATATTTTAAATTTAAATCAACAAATTTTTGTACTACAGAATAACCACCTAATATATAACAAATAGGAATGGTAGGATACAGACCCCCAATATTTCATGATCGTTCTGGAGAAGATCCAGAGGATTGGCTCAGAGAGATGCAAAGATATATAGTAGCTAGTCGAATAAATGTTGCACCTGGTGCAGGTCAGGTCACAGAAGAAAAGAGGCATTTGGATTGGTAATATCATGTCTTGCGGGCCCTGCATTGAATTGGAATAATATCTACATTAAGGGCAAAAATCGGAGATGTAATAATCTCTCAGATAACTTAGGTGTAGTTACTTTAATGCTGTTCGAGCAATAGGTGATGGAAATGGTGTAATCAAATTGGTGGTTTGAATACTGCAGGAAAATTTTGTAACAAAGCTGGAACAGAAATTGGTAGAATTGAAGCAGGTGTCGCAACTGGTGCTGATATTATTCCGAATGGAACATGGGATAAAGACTGGTCTATAGCCAGTGGTGAACCTACAGATAATGCACCAGTTGCACCAAATGCTGGCGAAGGTTTTCTGCTGTTACAATTGCTCCTGGTATTCAGCTTGGACAACTTCTTTATCTATTTAGTACTTCTTATATGATGGTTGAACACTTAAAACAAATGGCAGTTTTTAGTCAACTTATGCAAGGAGATATGGGTGTTGAAGAGTTCTCCACTTGAATCAAAAAGGGTGGTAAATTGGCCGGAATGACACCCGAACAACAAAGAGAGCAATTTATTCGTGGCTTAAATCCTATGAACCAATATAATATTCGAATGATAGCTAAATTTGAGGATACTCAGAAAAATATCACAAAAGCCTTAGCTGAAGCAGAAAAATTTACACTTTCTCAAAGAAATACACTATCTTCTCTTCCTGTTTTTCTGGCAACCAACCCCTACATAGACACTAACAAATCAGGAATGACTAAAACTGAAATCGTGGATTTGATAAAAATTGCAATAGCATCTTCAGAGTCTCAAATGGCTTAACAAAATGCTGATTTGCGGTCTACCATTAAATCCTTCCAAGAGACTATGTTTCGAGCGACTAAAACTCTAGATAATAGTAAAAAATCATCTAAGAAAAGAGCGGAAGATATTGGCATTAATCGCTTTTTGAGTGACTTACTAAGAAAAAATCTAGGTAAACACCCTGCTGATGAATATAATCATGATCCTATAGAAGATATTTCAGATAGTTTAACAGGATTAACATTAAATAGTGTTATAAAAACTGCTGTTAGACGTGCTATCAAGAAATCAACAGGTCACAAATGCTCCACCTGCGAAAGATCTGGGCATAATTCCCGAAACTGCCTTCGAAAGAAAAAGAAAAGCAGGAAGTCTAAAAAGGGTAAAGTTAATTTCACTACTGTAGATTCAGATTCAGGTTCAAGTTCTTTCTCTGATACTTCTTCTAGTGATAGTTCTAATACAAGTTCTTCTAATTCTTTTGATTCTTTCGATTCTGAAAACAATATTACTGTCAACATTGTCAAGGCAAAAAAAAAGTGAAGCAAGACTCTAGTTCCAAGAAATCGTCTCTTAAAAAGTCATCTAAAACTTTATTAGAGGAAACTATTTGTAAAGTTCTCCAAAGTGAACTTAAATTAATTTTTCCTGATCATTTTTCCCAAGACCCTATTAAAGCTAATATACCAAATCAAGCACCTCTAATCCAGGAAAAGATAGAATCTCAAAGCAATACTTCTCCAATTACCAAGGTTGTATTGCTAGATCCAGATGAGGAAAAAGATTTAGATGGTCCAATGGAGATTGATTTTGTTAAGAAAAAGGAGCTGAAAACAAGTGTTGCTACTGTAAAGTGTAAAATCAAACGTTTAAAGATCCCTGCTATGACAGTCGACTCTGAAGCTGAACCTCCTATTATAACAGAAAATATCATTGAACGTGTAGGAGCTAAAATTAATAAATCTGAAACACATGATTTTAGTAATATTGCCACTATTCCGGTTGAATCTGTTGAGGTTGTTCGCAAATTATCCATTACTCTAGCCTCAGGCTGTACTATCCATGAAGATTTTATTGTTGTGAAATATCAGAAGCCAACGTTAATATTTTCTAATCAGCTTTTGAAAAAATACAATTGCGCATTGGATTGGAAAACCAATAAGCTAAAAATTCCTCTTAATAGAAAAGATTATATTATTCCAGTCACTATACATAAGGTCAAGAACAAGCTTGAGGTAAATTGCGCAAACATAACTCCGGATTGTGACGATTTTTCGACTCAGGATAACATATCACAGGACTCACAGGAGTTGAGTAGATATGATGATGTATTAAAAAAAAATGCATGAGCTATAAGGAGCTTGAAAAAATATTATATATCACTCTCATTTCCGAAGCTAAATTAATTGAGATTAATAAAAACCTCCGATCTCTTTTTTCATATTAACTATAAATTCTGGCTTAGTGGAGTACTTTT